CTTGTCAAAATGGCGCCGTTGCCGGGGAGATGATATTGGTGCTTAGCTTTTGTTGTTGAGTCTACTTCATTTTAATTAAAAAATACAAAAAGATTTTGTTTCTTTAGGCTATACTTGTAGCCGTGCTACTAATATTTTCTTTGAGTTTTGCATGCATAGAGCTCGTGATCAATCCATTGTGCCTTTTGACCCGGAAATCGAAAGGACTCTCTCAAGGAGAAGAATAGCTAATCGATCCTTGGGGTATAGTTCTTCAAGTGAAGAAGAGATTGAAGAAGAGCAAGGCATGGGAGAAAATCCTAGGGTGGCCTTGAAGGAGCTAGGAATACCCGGTGCATATAGGTTTGAGAGCGGCATAGCTCCGCCTACAATACCGACAAATGATTTCAAAATTCGGCCGGCCATGATCACCTTAATTGAGAGGAGGCAATATAGTGGGGCTAAGAATGAGAGCCCGTTGAACCATCTTAAAGAATTTGAGAAGTATTGCAACACCATCAAAGTCAACGGAGTTTCTCAAGAGTTCATCCGCCTCAAGTTGTTCCCCTTCTCTCTCATAGGAAGATCCTTAGAGTGGCTAGATAAAGAGGTGAAGCCCAATTCCTTGAGAACATGGGATGATATTACAAAGGCCTTCTTGTCCCGCTTCTACCCTCAAAAGAAGACGGCGGAGGCAAGAGCCTTGATTCAAGGGTTCAAGCAAAGGCCAAATGAAAGCCTTTACAAAGCATGGGAGAGATACAAAGAGTATCAAAGGGAGTTCCCTCACCACGGAATCCCAACATACCAAGTGGTCCAAATCTTCTATGGCGGTTTAAGTCCCCAAGGCAAGTCATGCCTTGATGGGGGGCCGGGGGTCCTATCATGAACAAGACCGAAAAGAAGTGGTGAACATTATTGAGGACGTGGTGACGTACTATAGAGATTGGCAAGATGGAGAGAGGGACTCTTCAAGAAAGCAATCTTCATTGTACTCGGTGGACCATCTAAATGCGATTAACAACCTTTCCTCCCAAATGACAAACTTGGGAAAGGAGGTGACCGCAATCAAAGCCAAGTTGGAGAGTGCTTCTTCTTCTTCTCAAGCTTCGAATCTTCCCTCCCAATTTAAGGGGAGAGGTACTCTTTCTAACTCTCAACCCCCTCCCTCTTCACATAATATGCCTATGGGTTGTTTGTTTTGTGATGCATGTGGATCGTATGATCATGACTCTAGTAATTGTCCTAATGAATGTGTTGATGAGTTTGATAACAATGAGAGTGAGCATGTGAACTATGTGTCAAATAATAATGTTCAACGGTTTGATAATCAAAGAGGTCAATGGAATAGGAATTACCAAAACCAAGGCAATTTTGACAACTATAACCAAGGTGGTGGTTATAGAAACCAAGGGAACCAAGGTTCTCGTGGTAGCTATAATAACCAAGGTTATAGTGGCCAAAATCAAAGCCAAAATTATGGTAATCAAAACCAAGGTTATGGAAATTATAACCAAGGTGGTGGTAATCATAATCAAGGTGGTGGTAACCATAATCAAGGTTATGGTCAAAATCAAAATAGGGGTACTTGGAACAATCAAAGGAGGGGCAATTTTCAAAATAATGCTCAAAGAGGTCCCCCACCCGGATTTGTTCCAAGAACTCAAGGTGAAAATTCCTATTCACAACCTTCTTCACCTAGGACCAATTTGGAAGAAATAATTGAGAATCAAACCAAGTTGTTGAACACATACATGGTCGTTAGTGATAAAAAGTTCAATGAAATGATGACCCACAATAAAATGCTTGAAAACCAAATTTCTCAACTTGCTAATGCTTTGAAAGATCATTCAAGCCCTTCTTCTTTACCTTCCCAAGGTCTTGATCCCAAGAAACCCGTGAATGCTATTGTTACAAGGAGTGGTAAGGTTCTTGAGGAGAGATTGCCTAGGAAGGGTGAAGATAAGGAGATTCCTAAGGAAGCCTTGGTTGAGAATGAGGGGGATAGGGAATCATTGGATGAGGTTGTGGTTGAGACACCTAGAGAGGTGAGAGTAGAGAAAGAAATTGTGAAACCCAAGCTCCCTTACCCACAAAAATTCATGAGACACAAATTGGATGAAAAATTTGGGAGATTCATTGATATGATAAAACAACTTCATCTTTCTCTACCTTTTACCGATGTGATCAACCAAATGCCAAATTATGCCAAATTCCTCAAGGACATTTTAAGTGGGAAAAGAACTTGTGAGGTTGTGGAGACTATCAACTTGACCGAAAATTGTATTGCTATCATCATGAACAAAATGCCACCCAAATTGAAAGACCCCGGAAACTTCTCCATCCCTTGTGCCATTAACAAGATGCAAATTGATAATGTCTTATGTGACTTGGGAGCTAGTGTGAGCATAATGCCATATTTGGTTTATCAAAGACTTGAACTAGGGGAACTCTTACCTTCTAACATTACCTTGCAATTAGCCGATAGGTCAATCAAGTTTCCAAAAGGTAAGGTAGAAGATGTTCCATTGAGGGTTGGGAAGTTTGTGTTCCCGGTGGATTTTATTGTGCTAAAAATGGATGAAGATGCTACCATTCTAATCATTTTAGGTAGACCCTTTCTTGCTACCTCGGGTGCTATGATTGATGTGAGGAGTGCACAGATTTCCCTTAAGGTAGGAGATGAGGTCATTGAATTTGATTTGAATGAAAGCATGAAATATCCATGTTCTTCTCTAAAAAATTGCATGATGATTGATTCACTTGATCATGTTGTGTCTTCCATGCATGAGCACTTGCTCACCTCTAACGATGCTCTTGAGAATGTTTTGTTGAACAAGGACAAAGTAGGTACACCATGCAAGGAAGTGGCATTCTATGAGGAATTGCTTAATGGAAGCATGGAGGAAGTGGATGAGCAAATGTGCTTGAAAATCTCAAGCCAAGAAGCTTTGCAAGCGGCCACATCAAAAGAAGGTAACGGTGTGCCTATGGTAGAGCTCAAAACTCTACCATCACACCTTAGGTATGAGTTCTTGGGCCCTCATTCCACTTACCCCGTGATAGTTATGCATCCTTGAGCGTGAGCCAAGCTCAAGCGTTATGTGGTGTTTTGAGAAAGCACCAAGGTGCTTTGGGGTACACAATTGATGATCTTAAAGGTATAAGCCCCGCCTTGTGCCAACACCACATAACACTTGAGGAAGGCGCCCTTCCTTCTATCGAACGACAAAGAAAACTACATCCCCAAATGGGAGAGGTAGTTAAGAAGGAGATCACCAAGCTATTGGATGCGGGAATCATATTCCCCATCTCTAGCTCAAGGTGGGTCTCCCCCGTGCATGTCGTTCCAAAGAAGGGGGGCATGACCGTGGTTGAGAATGAGAAGGGTGAGCTCATTCCAACTAGGACGGTCACGGGTTGGAGGATGTGTATGGACTATAGACGTCTAAACACATCCACCAAGAAGGATCACTTCCCTCTTCCATTTATTGATCAAATGCTTGAAAGACTAACAAGGAACAAGTTTTATTGTTTCCTCGATGGATATTCGGGATTCTTCCAAATCCCCATCCACCCCGATGATCAAGAGAAAACTACCTTCACATGTCCTTATGGGACCTTTGCCTATCGAAGAATGCCCTTTGGGTTATGCAATGCACCCGCTACATTCCAAATGTGCATGATGAGTATTTTCGGGGATATGTTGGAGGAGGAAATGGAGGTCTTCATGGATGACTTTTCGGTGGGGGGTGTCTCATTTGAGGAGTGCCTTGTGAACCTTGAGAAGTGTTTGGAAAGATGTGTTAAGGTCAATCTTGTTTTGAATTGGGAGAAATGCCACTTCATGGTGGAGGAAGGTATAGTGCTTGGGCACAAGATTTCAAATAGAGGCATTAGAGGTGGATAAGGAAAAAATAGAAGTGATTGAGAAACTTCCACCTTCGGTGAATGTTAAGGGAGTGAGATCGTTCCTTAGTCATGCGGGTTTTTATAGGAGGTTCATCAAGGATTTTTCACTTATTGCTAAGCCCCTAAATGACCTTCTTCAAAAGGATTTTGAGTTCATTTTTTATGACAAATGCTTGAAGGCATTTGATAGATTGAAGAAGGCCTTAATCTCCACTCCTATTGTTCAAGCCCCAAGGTGGGATCTTCCTTTTGAATTGATGTGTGATGCGAGTGATTGGGCAATTGGAGGTGTTTTGGGACAACGTGTAGAAAAGAAGCTTCATGTGATTTACTATATGTCCAAGACACTCAATGGGGCTCAAAAGAACTACACAACAACGGAAAAGGAATTTTTAGCAATTGTGCACTCTTTTGAGAAATTTCGTTGTTACTTGTTGGGTTCCAAGACCATAGTTTTCACGGATCACGCGGCCCTCAAGTATCTCTTTGCCAAGAAAGAGTCCAAGCCTCGGTTGATTCGATGGGTGCTTGAATTGCAAACTTTTGAGATCGAGATTAGGGACAAGAAGGGTGCGGAGAATGTTGTTGCGGACCATCTTTCTCGCCTTGAGGGTGATCAAATTCATGATGATGGTTCACCAATTGAGGATAGAATGCTTGATGACTTCATATATGCCATAGAGGTGAAGGAACTCCCATGGTATGCCGACTTGGTGAATTTTCTAGCATGTGGGGAGTTTCCACCCTCCTTCTCAAAGAACCAAAGGAAGAAAATCAAAAGGGAGGAAAGACATTACTTGTGGGATGATCGAATCTTATACAAACGAGGGGTTGATGGCTTACTTAGACGTTGTGTTCCAAATGAAGAGGTGCCTAGTGTTTTAAGGATGTGCCACTCGGACCCTAGTGGTGGGCATATGGGTGTTTCCAAGACCGCTACCAAGGTTCTTCAATGTGGTTTGTGGTGGCCGCATCTCTTCAAGGACTCATGGGGCTTTGTGAAGTCATGCGACCGATGTCAAAGGGTTGGGAATATCTCCAAGAGGAATGAGATGCCTCAACAGCCCATTCTTGAGTTAGAGGTGTTCGATGTTTAGGGGATTGACTTCATGGGACCATTCCCATCTTCATATGGTAATCAATTCATACTTTTGGATGTGGACTATGTTTCTAAATGGGTTGAGGCCATTTCCTCCCCTACTAATGACCACAAAGTAGTGTTGAAGTTGTTCAACAAAATCATCTTCTCAAGGTTTGGCGTGCCTAAGGCTGTGATAAGCGATAACGGATCTCATTTTACTCACAACGCCTTCCAAAAGATGTTGAGGAAACATGGAGTGCATCAATGGTTCGGCCTTCCATATCATCCTCAATTGAGTGGCCAAGTCGAGGTCTCCAATCGTCAAATAAAGCTCATTCTTGAGAATACGGTTGCAAGGAATGGAAAGGATTGGTCGGACAAGTTAGATGATGCTCTTTGGGCTAATAGGACGGCTTTCAAGACGCCTATTGGTACTTCTCCATATCGCCTTGTCTATGGCAAATCATGACATCTCCCGGTAGAGCTTGAACATCGTGCCTTGTGGGCCATCAAGAAGATAAATTTTGACTTAGCTAGTGCAGGGGAGAAGAGGTGGTTGGATCTTCATGAGCTAGAGGAACTTCGACTTGATGCTTACGATTGTGCTAGCACCTACAAAGCTCTCTCCAAGGAGGTTCATGACAAGTTAATTGAGAAAAAGGAGTTTTGTGTAGGTGACAAAGTCCTCCTCTACAATTCAAGGATGAAGTTGTTCCCCGGAAAACTCATGTCAAGATGGAGTGGACCATTCTTGGTGAAAGATGTTTTTTATAATGGTGTCGTGGAGATTTCTCCTTTGAACTCCTCATCTTCATTTAAGGTTAATGGTCATCGGCTCAAGAAGTACTATTATCATCACTTGTTGGAAAGAAGGGGTTTGATGAAGAGTTTAGAGTGTAGGGTAGAGGGCTTCCCGAGGGCTTGGAGAGACCTCGGAGGACTCTTCACCTTTTTGAGGCATTTCAATCCAGGGATTTCCCGCGGTTGCCCCGCGGTCTCTCCGCGGGCGCGGGAAGTTTTGGAGAGGCCTCAAAAGTTCTGGAGAGGGCGCGACCCTCATTTCAAGAAAAATTGAAGTTCAATCCAGGGACTTCCCATGGTGCCCCGTGGTCTCTCCGCGGGCGCGGGATGTTTTGGAGAGGGCGCGTCATGTTTGGAGAGGGCGCGACCCTCAATTCAAGCAAATTTGGAAATTAATTCCAGGGACTTCCCGCGGTTGCCCCGCGGTCTCTCCGCGGGCGCGGGATGTTTTGGAGAGGGCGCGTCATGTCTGGAGAGGGCGCGGCCCTCAATTCAAGCAAATTTGGAAATTCATTCCAGGAACTTCCCGCGGTTGCCCCGCAGTCTCTCCGCGGGCGCGGGAAGTTTTGGAGAGGGCGCGGCATTTCTAGAGAGGGCGCGGCCCCACCGTCAGGTAAAAAAATCCCAAAAGTTCCAGGAGCTCCCCGCGGTTGCCCCGCGGTCTCTCCGCGGGCGCGGGAGAGTTGCCGCGGGCGTGGCAGAGACGGGAGAGGGCACGGCGATCTGGGTTTGTTATACTCGGGCGCACCCTCTCCTCTCTTTCTCTCTCCTCTCTTATTTTCTCTTCTTCTTCTTATTTTTCCCCTTTCTCTCTCTACCTCCTCTCAAACCCTAAACCCAAAACATCAATTTCTCACTTATTTCTTCAACTTTTGCCTAATATTTTCACAAATTCTTCCATATTCCTCCATTTTCATCACTCCTACTCTCCTTTCTCGTGGTGTTTCGGGAAATTTCGGGTCTTTGAAGTGCTTTGAGTTGAATTTGAATCTCCAATCTTGGTATACTTCTAACCTTTGTAATATTTTTGTCAAATTTCAATTGATTTCTTTACATTGGTTTGTTTACCTTGATTTTGAGCATGATTTTTGTGTTTTATGGTTGATTTATGGGAAATTTGGTATATTTGGGTGATTGTTACTTTTTCTTGTTGATTCATGATTATATTGATGATTGATTGTTGATATTGTTGTTTGTTGTTGGATTTTGGTTGCTGTGTTGATTGGAACAGGTACCTTGTAGTTTGTGGTGGTTTGGTTGGATTTGTAAGGAGGGTTGTGAGTAATTTTGGTGGTAGTTGTTTTGTTTGAGGGAGTTTGTGTTGTTCTTGTGAATTGTGTGAATTTTGTCAAAATGGATTTGATAAGAAGAGTGAAAAGTAGCAAGAAGCGCTCAAACCAATCCCCCGACCAATCTTCTCAAGGCCAATCCTCAAACCCTCAACCCCAACCGCATTCCACAACACAAGATGATGCTCCTCCTCCTCCTCTACCCCCTCTCAAGTTTTTGAACCAGTCTAAACAAACCCCCATCTATAACAAAATGAAAGATCGGAAGTTTAGACCTTCCCGACATTACTTTCGTGAGGACATGGCCAAGCTAGGAATTGAAAATGACCTTGACATCCTTCTAAACAACCTAAGCTTGGGTGAGTTTATAAAGTCTTCCCCTAGAACCTATTTGGAGCCTTCCATTGAGTTTTTCTCCACATTTGAGTTCAATAAGGTGGGGGAAACCGACTTTATTATTTCCTTCCAACTCTTCAATGTCAAACACACTATGAACCTAGCCGAGTTCAATGTAGCCCTTGGTTTCAACCCCAATGGTGATATCTTCGAGCCCCTTATCTCCCTAGTCCAAACTGAGTATAATGAGGTTTCTTGGTGGAGAACCATAGCCAACAAGAGGGAGTTTGATTCGAAGAAGTCTCTTGCTAGTGAGATTATCCATCCGGCCCTTAGGATCCTTCATAGAATTCTTGGGTATTCGGTCTTTAATAAGCAAGATTTGGGGAAGTTATCTCGAGAGGAGATTATGGTGTTATGGATGGCTACCAAGCCGGATTTAGGGTCAAGGATTAATTTTGGCTATATCTTCATGAATTGTTGTAAGGATTAATGCATGGGGTCAAAACGGGGGAAATTCATTGTGGGGGCATGGTGACACGTCTTGTGTCGTATTTTAAGCAAGAGGGGTTCTTGAAGTCTTGCACTCCGATTGGAAGGAGTGAAGACGTGTGGATTAGTTTGAAACAAGTTAACACTTTGCGTTTCATAACTAGCACTAGGAGAACTGATACTTACTCTTGGCTAGTGAGAAATACCCACCATTGCCTACTCCCTAACCCGGCCGCCACCTCCATCCTTCGTGAGGCTAGAAAAATTTGGATGATCCCTAGGGACAATGGGAGAATTGAAGATGAGATGGAAGAGGATAATGAGATGGAGGAGGATGATGAGAATGATGAGGAAGAGGAGGAAGGAGGAGGAGAAGAATATGATGAAGAGCAACAACAACCGCCACTACAACAACAACATGAGCATTTTCATGATGATGCTCAAAGAAGAAGAAGAAGAGAAAGAAGACAACAAAGACAACAACAACAACAAGATTTCCAAGGGTATGCTTATCTCCGAGAGATGGAGGCCATGAGAGACAACATGGAGCGCATGCAATTGAGCATGCAAGGTATGTACTCAGACCATCAAACTCTGTCTTATCAAACTAGCGCCTTGTATGACGCTAGTGTGCGTAAGGGGGAGGTCACACCTCCGGTCAACTACCCTTATGTGCCGCCCCAACTAGGGCCGGTACCTTCCTGGGGTGGTGACAACCTCCCTACGTACCCATATTGGCTCGGGGTTGAGGACCTCGATGTGCCAAGGCGCAACTTCCCGCCTTATGATTATAGGGTCTCGGGGGGAGTGATTATCGGGGTGATCCCGCATACTACTATGTTCACCCCCATCACCCCGAGCCCCTTGGTCAGCGTGAGCCCTACGATCAATTGACCCGATCCCAACTTGACCTATTCAAGGGTCACTATGGATTTCCTCTCGGTTACACTGGAGGTTGGGATAAGGGTGATGATGGTGCCGGCCCTAGTGGCCAATAGTCCCCTTATGCATGTTTGTTTCCCTTTTTGTTCTCCCCCTTCCCTATTTTGCATGTTTGTAGGAATCGCGGTCGATGCCTTCATTTTGTGAGGGGGGAGGGTCAAAAAGGATGTTTTATGGTTGGTTTGGGGGAGGCACCTGGGGCTCGGTGGGAAGTCTTTGATAAGGTTTTTGGTGGATTTTTGCTAATGGTCTCGTTGGTTTGTTGCTTGTTGTTGTTTTGTTTCATTTCATGATGTTATTGGGAGTTTCTTGAGAAAAAAATAAAAATTTTGATGATGATGGTTTCTCTAGGTTTTTGTATATAGTTTGTGTCTAAGTGTTTTATCGTTTGTTTTTGTTTGGAAGTTACTAACAATTTCATTTTTTATATATAGCTTTTTTTTTCTTTAACTCACCTTGCTCGTAGCCTATGCTTTGGATTGCGGAGCTTTTTGGAGAAGCGCGTTCCTACTCCTTGGGTACTTTAGTTTAGCACGGACTCTTGGTGAGGCCTTTCTTATTTTACCTCTTTATTTTTACTTCTATATTTTCTTGGTTGCTTAGATTAGGATTAGATTTAGGGGAAGTTGAACGGTTCGAGGATGTATGAATTTAACACCTAGTGTGTTTGGGGTCTTTGGCGATGTGGCCATTAGACCACTTGTATGTTGATTGGGATAAACGTGTTATGATTGCATCTTTGCCCTTTTCCTCTTTCCTTTTCTTGTCCTTGTCTAAGTTTTCCATCTTCTCTTTTCTTTTCTTTCCCTTTCTTTTATTCTTGTTTGTGTGCATAACTTTTTGAGGCTTTATTTTCACTCTTTCTCTTTTTGAAAATTGGACTTGTATGCAATGGACTTTTGCTTTTGAATAATAGTCTTCCTAGGTAATAATGGTATGCACGATTTGAGATTACGTTTGGTTGATTCTAGGATAAAGCATGCTAAGATAGTTGTCTAGAACTAGGGGGATCATGAAACCGGATTCTACTCGTTTGTGGCATGTTGGTAGTTGCTCCCTATCTTTGATTTGACAACCTTAGTGAGTTTTTGCTACAACCATGTGAGATGTATATTTGTTCAAGCTTTCATCAAATTCTTGCATGAGCGGAATGGATCCTTGATTTTCGCAAACCTAATCTAGAATCTTAGCGTATGATTCCTAAGACCGTGACCGAACTACCTAGGGAGGACAAAGGCAACTTTTCGGGGAGGTATTTTCTTTTTCTAGGATAGTCCCTTTATGTTTACTTTTTTTTTGGTTTGGGATACATTTGCCTACTTGTTACCCCTTTGAACCTTTTTCCCTCTTTTCAAGCCGCATAATTAGATATCTTGAGCCTTTTGTTTTGTTCTCCTTCTTTTTGGTTTTTGTGAAGCAAGGGTCAATGTTTGGCGATTGTGGTCTATGAAGTTGGAGTTTGGTTCGAATTGGTACACATAATTGAGTTGTTTATATTTGGTAAATAATGGCAAATGCTTATGTAAAAGCCGTCCTTAGTAAAAGAGGCAAGGATGTTAATAAATGCATATTTGATAAAAAGCCGTCCGAATTGAAAAAAAAGCAACGACTAATGCTTTTAAGGAGTACGAGAAAATAAAAACAAATTTATAAATGAGAAAACGCAACAAAAAAAAAAAAAAACCATAAAAATTCAAGTGTCTTTCTCCTCTCTATGCATTGAGGACAATGTTTCTTTTAGCTTGGGGGGAAAAGCGTTTGCGCTTTTTGTTCTTATGTTTGTAGATTGTTGCTTTGAATAAGCTTGGGGGTGTTAATACGTTTTTGTTTGGTGATTACTTAAGTTTGGTGTTGAGATTTGGCCAGTCTTTGCTTCATAATTTAGGATAACCACCAAATTTTAAATTTTAGCCTACCTTAACCCTTCTTGCCTTACGTTACAACCTTTGGGAAGACCTTTGGACCTAGGAGTTGAGTCTTTCATCAGTGGAGGGAATCATGGGTTGTAGACTAAGGAAAGGGGATGCGAAATCAAGATGTCGAGTAGCCCAAAAAAAATTGATCTTTTTCCGGTTTCTTCGTGGAATCTATGAGATGCTCACTAAGGGGAGATATGAGATTAGTAGGGGGAACGCGGTAAGACCGTTTGGGATGAAAGTGGAGTGTGATAACTAGCTCCTATGCTTAGCATATTTATGTTTCAATCAACCTTAGGTATCTTATAACGTGCATACCATAATTCACTTTAGAAAGGTTGTTATTCATTTGAATTATAGTCTCTTTGTAAAGTCCATTTCGTAAAGATTTTGTTTCCTTTTTCTATTTCTTTTCCTTTAATGGTTTGCCTCTTGGGGGTTTGGTGGAGAGTTATGGGTAAACTCTTAGGATACCCTTACGAGAGCATCACTCGTCCTCTAGGGCGATCTAGGGGTTTAAATGGCTTGTTGTAGCTAAAAACAACCGTGATTCCTACGACAGTGAGTCTTAGTGTAAATTCTCGCCCCTCTTTTTCTTTTTGCTTCGAATAAGCCCTTCTTTTTCCTTTTTAGCCTTTGTTTTGCTCGGGACGAGCAAAAGTCTAGCTTGGGGGAATTTGATGAGTGTCATTTATGGCACTCATAGGGTAGTCTTTTAGGGTTATTTCTTTCCCTTTCTCATGCTTTCTTCTCTTATTTTTGGTCCTTTTTCCTTTAGTATCTCTTTCTCCTCTTTTCTTTATGGTTCTCGTGTTTTTCTCGTGTTTTCCTTTTATTTGGCTCTTTTTCCCTTTTATTTCCTTTCTTTGTTTGCTTGTGTAGGTACTTGGAGAATCACTTTTGCAAAGGAATCAAGTTGGGACCTTAATGACCAAGTAAGGAAGAAGCATTTGGCTAGAGAGGGCTTAGAGAGGCCTTGGATAGGCCTCAGAGAGGTCTCCAAGGTATTTCCAGCAGGCCGCGGGCGCGGGTCAGTGAAGCCGCGGGCGCGGGCTCAAGAAGCACAAATTGCCAGATTTTGGCAGGAGCTTCCCGCGGTTGCCCCGCGGGCTCTCCGCTGGCGCGGGAAACTTGGAGAGGGCCCTTCGTCTCAGAGAGACCGCGGGCGCAGGGGATTAGCCGCGGGCGCGGCATCTTTGGCCGCGGGCGTGGGTTTATCCTGCCGCGGGCGCAAGTGTTGCCCGGATAGCCCGCGGAGGGTTCCGTACCCATTTCTCCGCGGCCGCGGATTCATCAGGAAAGGGCGCGGGATTTGCCGGTTTCTTCTTTACTTAT